TGTGTGCAAATAACTATTTCTCTAAATAGGATCCCCGCGCAAATCGGCTTATCAGGACATTCTTTGATATGCACAGCAAACTACCCCCTGATTTGATTTCTCAAGTATTCTTTACATTTCTGTGTGAGGCATTATAATGGGATACTCAGTAAATTCCTGTCCCTGTAAGGAATGTCTGAATGGCAGCAACACTGCAGAGGGGCGGCTGGCTAATCATATAGAGAAATCCATTAAGAGGGTAAATTATTAACACTGCAGCAGTGTTCGAAAGGTTTGAATGTATTTAAAATGTATATATACAGTAGATACATATATCTCCCAATTGCACCCAAAATCCCTAAAGAGAGACTTTCCGACGGCTATATCTGCAGTGTCTGCTGCTTCATAGCCATAAACAGAAGAGCTTATGCCACCCAAGTGTTCCTGTTTATAGCTGAATCCAGGACAGGACATGTGGCCTTTTATATTAGAGAGTTTAACAATTAACAAAGTATTAGATCTTCATAATTTCTTTTTTAGTTTAACACACTGCACATAATAATGTAAACATTCCCAATAAACTATATATTAGAATTCCTACCTCAGCACTTTAATTTTACAGATTTCAGTGGCTCCTGCTCTCTCAGTGTTGCTGCCCTGGACTTCTGGTCTTCCCAGGAAAGAATTAACAGTGGAAAGTGTAGTCTGGCATCCGTTTGTGAGCTTGGAGGAGGAGGAAGGAGTAGGGAAGTGCAGTGGTGAATTTAGGTTTTGTGCTGCAATAAGCAACACTAAAATCAGATGCCCCCCCCCCCCCCACACCCCCAGCAGAGAGAGAGCCTCACACCGACCAACACCAGACCCCCCCCCCGTGGAGAGACCCTAACAGTGGCCAATGACACCCCTGCCCCATCCCCCCCCCTGCACTCGATAGAACCTCCCACTAACCCCCCCCCCCCACAGCATCAGAGAGAAAGACACTCACCTTCACAGCTCTTGACATCCCCGGGAATGAGAGTTGGGCTCTGCATGCACCATCAAGCAGCCCACAGCCTCTCTCGGATCCCACCTGGTCCCCATGCCACATATTTCCCTTCTTCCAGGGGGCAGTGCTGCGCCCCTAAAAAGTGCCGCCTTAGGCAAAAGCCTTGTTTGCCTTGTGGTAAATACGCCCCTGGGGAAGTGCCTTCCCACCCTAGGCTGTGGGTTGTGTGTTTCTATTGATGCACACAGTGTAAGGAAACACAACTCTAGTCCCTGCATACAAGGGTGGCTCCATAGGAAGCTGCAGAGAAAAGAGCCACCCTCAAACAGGAAACCTGGGGCAGCTATCATGGCACCAGCTTAAACTGGAAAATAGGTTTTTAAAAGAGAAAGAAGCTGCATACTCTGTCAATGATTAAACCAGTTGCTGAAAGTGCTTAAAAATGAGGGTTTAATATCACTTTAAAGCAGTAGGAAACCCAAAAGCAATAATTTTTAATATATTGTGACCAATTCTTAAATGTGATGGCTGCATTTGTTTTCTTTTATTTAGGCTTTCTTTCATTTATTTTCATCTAGTAATCTGGCTTGTAAGGCCCCCTTCACCCAGGCGCCTTCTAATATGATCAGTAGGGGATCTGTCCGCTGATCTCTTGCTGATCAGGGCAGAGGGGACAGATGACAGGTCCGTGTCAGCTCAATTTATGTAGAGTGGACATTACCAGAGCCCTCTCTACTCTATAGGCGGCTGGGAGTGGGGGTAAACAGACTCCGTTGTCCATTTACACCCAGCTGCCTCCGATGCAATCTGCCCAAATGGAAGAGGACGGCGTCCTCCTCCATTTTTTTGATCAGACACAAGTCCGTTTAAACCCACCAGCCCATAGGACTGCATGGACCTTCCAGTGAAGTCTGCCTGAAAAACTGACAGGCGAACCTGATTGGATCACCCATGTCAAAGGGCCTTTGTCTGTTTTGTTTCAACAGAACAAGCTATCCTGCAAATGTATCAGTGAAGAGTGTTGAGATATACAATTTACAGCTGACAGGGGTGCTAACAATGGTCAGCTTTTATTTATTCATGTAAAACCTTTATCCCTAAAGGAAAAAAGCTGTTGCTGTAACTGCTTGTATAACTGCTGGAGATTGGCTTCAGTTTGTTAGTGTAGCTTAATCAGCTAGTACATCTAACACTCCCCTCCCCCACAGACTGACAATACTGCTGTCCAAAGGTGCTTCTGTGCTCCTTCATCCAGAGTTGGAGCACTCTGATACAGGAGATGTGTTACTGGCGAGATCATCACCAGGTGAAAACAGAGGGAGAAAAGCCTGAAAACAATTCTGCAGCCACCACATCTAATGATAGGTAAGCTGCATTATAATACATTTTTGGTTTGGGGTTTAAATGTTCTCAGAACACCAGTTTACTGATAGAGAATTTCCCATAATGGTGTGACCTGGAATACTCCAGCAATGCTAGTATTATATCCAAGTATTCAGGGCAAGAAGGCTGTCTCCTCTATGTGTATTCCAGCTAAATGTACATGTCCGACTGTCCCATGGAACCTTTATAAATGTAAAGAGCAGCACTGTTACAAAAGGGGGTGGTTAACTAAAGGGGTAGATACAGGGGCGGACTGACTATTTGGAAACTCGGGCACTGCCTGAGGGCCCGGGGTCAGTAGGGGGCCCCATGAGATGTCCCTGGTACCTTTTTCATAGGCATTTTTGAGTTTGGGCAAGGACATAGGGGCCCCACGATCCCCTATTGCCCCGGGGTCCCATGAGTTGTCAGTCCGCCCCTGGGTAGATAGGACTCACAATGCAAAGTGAATCTGTGTTCCCCATGGATCATCCAATCACTTTTATTTTACATACATACATAGTTGCACCTTATTTACCAAGTGAAGTGTTCATTAATTTTGCTGAGTAAACTTTCTCTACTCCCGAAGTTAATCAGCCCCATAGAGAACACTTTCACTTTTCACAGAATTTCACTGAATGTGACATATATGAAATTCCTTCTCCATACAACCATGCTGAATAATAAACAAATTCTGATAACTGTGCTTTTGACCAAGATCAGGGCATGCTGAGTACATGAAATGCTTAACGCTAGGAGTGCTACTGGGACCACCATGAAGACACATATGATTGATATTCTAGTGTCAGAGAAAAGGTCGTACCATATAGGTCTTCCTACTCTTTGGAAGAAGAGCAGAGATAAGGGAGGGGGGGTGGGAGAGGGGGAATCAGAGAGTTTACAAAATCTTATTTTTGGCAAAAAAGGAGAAAATTTTCATATGATGGATGAGATTATAAACAACATTCTTTTTATTAACTACAGAAAAGGGTTCAGGATATACAGTATAGGGAAAAGTTAAAGTGTTAGTTCACCTTACATAAAAACCTACCTGGAATTTGCATGTTCTCCCTGTGCCTGCATGGGTTTTCTCCAGGTGCTCTGGTCTCCTCCCACACTCCAGGTACATGCTGGTAGGTTAAACACTAGCCTACAGGGCACTTATACCCCTTCCTGCCCAGGCCAATTTCCAACTCTCAGCGCTGTCACATTTTGGATGACAATTGCGTGGACATGCAACACTGTACCCATATGAAATTTTTAAAAATTTTTTTTGTGACAGATAGAGCTTTATTTTGGTGGTATTTAATCACCTCTGGGTTTTTTATTTTTTTCTTAAACAAACCAAAAACCACTGAAAATTTTGAAAAATATGTTTTTTCTTAGTTTTTGTTATAAAAGTTTGTAAATAAGTGATTTTTCTCCTTCACTGATATGCGCTAATGAGGCTGTAGTGATGGGCACTGATAGGCTGCACTGATGAACACTGATAGGTGGCACTGATGGGCACTGATGAGGAGGAACTGGTAGGTGGCACTGATGGGCATTGACAGTCATCACTGATGGGCACTGAAAGGCAGCACTCATATATGGCACTGATAGACAGCACTGGACACAGCTGATCACATGCCCGAGCAGACATCTTCGGCTCTTTCCGTTGATCCGCTGTGTCCGAGGGACACAGAGCACCGTCGATCACCGCGCATGCGTGATTAGAATGGGAGGACGTCATTTGATGTCCTCCCAGAATGAGAGGACTGCCTTGCGCCCGTCATTGTACTCTATGGCGGGCGGGAGGCGGTTAATTGGCTCCTGTCTAAATTGACCCTAATATGTGTATGTATGAGTGTGAATTAGGGACCTTAGATTGTAAGATCCGTGAGAGCAGGGACTGATGTGAATGTACAATATGTATATATTGCCAAAAGTATTAGTTGACCTGCCTTTACACACACATGAACTTTAATGACATTCCAGTCTTAGTCCGTAGGGTTCAATGTTGATTTGGCCCAACCTTTGCAGCTATAACAGCTTCAACTCTTCTGGGAAGGCTGTCCACAAAGTTTAGGAGTGTGTCTATGGGAATGTTTGACCATTCTTCCAGAAGCACATTTGTGAGGTCAGGCACTGATGTCGGAGGAGAAGGCCTAGTTCACAGTCTCTAATTCATCCCAAAGGTGTTCTGTCGGGTTAAGGTCAGGACTCTGTGCAGACCGGTCAAGTTCCTCCACCCCAAACTCGCTCATCCATGTCTTTATGGACCTTGCTGTGTGCACTGGCACGCAGTCATGTTGGAACAGGAAGGGGCCATCCCCAATCTGTACCCACAAAGTTGGGAGCATGAAATTGTCCAAAATGTCTTGGTATGCTGACGCCTTAAGAGTTCCTTACCTGCAACTAAGGGGCCAAGCCCAACCCCTGAAAAACAACCCCACACCATAATTCCCCCTCCACCAAACTTTATACTTGGCACAGTGCAGTCAGGCAAGTACCATTCTCCTGGCAACCGCCAAACCCAGACACGTCCATCAGATTGCCAGACAGAGAAGCATGATTGGTCACTCCAGAGAACACATCTCCACTGCTCTAGAGTTCAGTGGTGGAGTGCTTTACACCACTGCATCCGACGCTTTGCATTGCACTTGGTGATGTAAGGCTTGGATGCAGCTGCTCGGCCATGGAAACCCATTCCATGAATCCTCTACGCACTGTTGTGCTAATCTAAAGGCCACATGAAATTTGGAGGTCTTTAGCTGTTGACTCTGCAGACAGTTGGCGGCTTCCATGAACTGTGCGCTTCTGCATGACCCCCGCTCTGTCATTTTGCATGGCTTACCACTTCATGGCTGAGATGCTGTTGTTACCAATTGCTTCCACTTTGTTATAATACCACTAACAGTTCACTGTGGAATATTTAGTAGCAAGGATGTTTCATGGATGGACTTATTGCACAGGTGGCAACCTATTACAGTTTCATACTTGAATTCACTGAGCTCCTGAGAGCGACCCATTCTTTCACAAATGTTTGTAGAAGCAGTCTGCATGCCTAGGTGCTTGATTTTATGCACATGTGGCCATGGAGGTGATTGGAACACCTGAATCCAATGATTTGGAGGGGTGCCCCAATACGTTTGGCAAAATAGTGTATATGTAAAGCTCTGTGTAAATTGTCGTCACTATATACGGTAAGTACCTGTGATAAAAAAAAAAAAAATCTAACATCAGGCGTCCTAACCCCCCCCCCCCCCACACACACACACACACACACACCATTTTCCCTGCTGTACTTACCTCTGGGGTTTCCAAGCTTTAAGAACTCCCAGTTCAGTCCAGCAGTCCAGAGTCCAGGGATTTCAATATCAAAAAACATGGCAGAACTTGTGCCAACATCCCATTAATTAATAACAATATTTAGGAATTACATTTTTGTGGTGGGACTTTTTAGGTACCAATGTATACCAAAATCTCTGACACAAACTCTGTATTATATAAAATAAGCCTTACATTTTTATTGTATGAAAATGTAAACAAATTACACATACAATTAAGGCTGATGATTATTACACATTCCTCATGAAAGAGAGTAAAGTTACACACTCTCTGTTCCATCAAACATCATAATGCTAACAGATCTTGGGAGACGTATGGTAATTCTTATGAACAAATCTAACGCGTTTCAAAGTATTATTCAGGGGATCTTCTCCCACTTTCCCTTACACTACTATTTCCCTGAGGGAAGGGGGGCAGCTGTCTCTTAAGCTGGTCATACATGGATCAAATTCATCTGGTTCACCATGGGACCAGCCGAATTTCGATCCGTGTATGAGCTATCAATTGACTTGTGGACAACCAGTCTGTTGGGTTTTTTGCAAACAATCAGTACCTCCAGCAACACTGATCATTGCATTTTGATGGTGGGGAGCACAATAGTACAGTGGAAGGATTTCTCCACCATCCACATCAAGCACACTTTGTTAGAAGGAGGGAGTCGGCTCGGTTTTTTCTTTTTTTTTTCAACCCCCTGTAAACAAACTAAATGAATCATGTATGAGATGAAGCCATCTTTGTTCAGGCTCTATCTAGTGTCAACATTTCCAGGCTTTGATGCTGGCTTAGGCTAGGTTCACATATGTGCGGGTGGTGCCGCTGTGGATCCGCACAAAAATCCACCCACACAGAAGAATGCAGACCCGCGGCGGGTGCCATTAATTCTAATGGCACGCCGTGCCACCCCGCACGGGAATTCGCAACCGCACTGGGAGCCGAGGTTCCTGTGCGGACTGCGGTTTCCAAAGAAGTGCAGGGGACTTCTTCCTTGCATGTCCCGGGGAACGGGAGTCTATTCAATTGAATGGGCTCTCGTGCCCGTGAAAAACACCGCCACACGACTGCATATATGTGAACCAGGGCTCAATGATGACGCACCTATGTAAATACTGGTGCCTAAAGTAAAGACCAGTCACTGCTGCTCTCTCTCCTTGTACAGGATGACTGGTCTTGTCTCCGCCCCATCCTGTAGTTCTGCAGGCAGTCTGTATAGGGTTGAGCCATCTGGGCCCCTCCCACAGGCTATGTATTGCACAGCAATTAAGTCATTGCTCTTTTACAAGGTAATATCTGGGTTTGGAACTAATCAGGAATATATATTTAAATACAATTATTGAGCCTGGAGTTCATCTTTAAACATACAGCCTTTCAATGCTGATAGTTTTGTATGTTTGATAAAAACTCTCTTTGGAGTGTCTGTGTCCGAAAAACAGTCTTATTATTCACAGATGTCCCCGTAATACAGCCACTGAGCACATAATCCAATTTCAAGGTCTGTGCGGGAAACAAAAAGTAACTTATTTGAGATTTATTAAAAGAATTACAGTAAAACTGTTGTGCGAACTTAAAAGAAACTGAGTAATTGTCCCCAGCACAATAAATAGAGCAGTTTAATATCTCTGCCTCTGGGGAGGACCGGCTTGTTGTCAAAGTGTAATTTACTGTTCCAGGTGGCGGACACTCAGGCGAAAATATTTATGGTGCGTTCAACATTCCTAACATGCACTGTTCTACTAGCAGCAAGTGCGTAAAACAGTCAGTGCACATGTATATAAAACACTATCTACCTTTCATTATAGAAATTAAAGGGTGACTAAATGCTTTTTATTTTCTGCATAATCTAGCTGTGAATGTGAAGCTGTTAAAGAAATATTTAGTGTTTGTTTTTGTTCGTTTTTTTACCTTGGAGTAATCACGTCCCCTTTATATTTGCTTTGTTGTATTTTCATGATCACATTGTAAATCTTAAATCTTAAACTGTATGTCTCACAGTATACAGTTTTTCCTAAGCAAATCATTTGTTTGTGAATCTGATTCAACATTTCGTACCTGCAGATCCTGGTACTAGCAGCTTTTCCTATTGCAGGTTGGCACCACTAAACCACTTCCCTGGAATAATCAGCAGGGTTGTCAGGGTGCCATGCAAGTTCCTCACTTGGCCATTGGGCTGTCTTAAAGTTTTAACCACTTGCCCTCCAGAGGATTTGCCCCCTTTCCTGATCAGGTTATTTTTGCATTACTTTAACTAACAATCGCATGGTCATGCAATGCCGCACCCAAATTAAATTTGCATACTTTTTTTACCCCTCGAATAGAGCTTTCTTTTGGTGGTGGTATTTGTTCACCTGTGCATTTTTTATTTTTTGCGCTATAAAAAAGAAGTCCAACAATTTTGAGAAAAAAAAACAATATTTTTCACTTGTTGCTATTAAACAAATCCAGTAAAAAAAATTAAAAAATCTAATTTCATCATACATTTAGGCCAAAATGTATTCTACTCCATGTCTTTGCTAAAAAAAAATCCCAATACATGTATATTAATTGAGTTACATGAAAGTTATAGCGTTTACAAATGGCGGTATATATACTGGAATTTTTTTTTTACTAGTAATGGCTGGTTTCCATCCATGACTTCGGCTCCACAGTGGTAGCAGCCTCCATCTCCCGCAGCCACTTCTCTCCATTGCTGGTGGCCAAGGCAAGGTTCCTGGTTGCCCTCCTGTCGGTTTCTGCTCTAGAGGTTGCCTGACTGTCATGCTGAGTTACATTTTAACTATGAGTACAATTATTACTTTTCAATAATTTTGTTTTTTTTACATCCTACACTATGGAAGTTTCACTGGTCTCTCCCCTTCCTCTGTTCTTCACACAGCTATACAGCACACCCATGCTGGATTAAAGAAGCATTCCCATAGTTAGATTAGCAGTGAAGCATTCTGGGCTACCCACATCATTGGGGTTTTATAAAGTTTTTATACAGGTTTATATCACATTTTTTAATATTGTTTTATATAATTGTAGTTATCCTTGTTGTAAGGCATTTGCCTATTTAACACCAGGTTAATCCTTCTGGTTATCTCACCAGCAGGATAACTGGAGGTGGGCTTTATAACAAGGGGCTGTTGCGCTGTGCTTTATCAGGGGTGTTATCGCACTGTATCTATTTCTTGTTAGCCACATAATGATGATTATTTAAAACTGGAGAATATGAGAGCAGTGGACTAGTTGCCCATAAAATCCAATCATAATTTTGTAAACAAAAGGTGAACCCTGATTGGCTACTATTGTCAACAACTCAGGAGAAAAAATTAGCACAAAGTAGACAGTAATCGATACATATCGACTAAATTATTGATAAAGCTTTTTCTATAGTTATTTATTAAGCTTTGTCCATAGACTGCCATTTACAGAAGAGAATTGGCCATTGGCCCTGATTCATCAAGCTACAGTATTGCTTGCAGGGGCGGACTGACAACTCATGGGGCCCCCGGGCAATGGGGCCCCTGTGTCCTTACCCAAACTCAAAAAAGCCTATGAAAAAGGTACCAGGGGCATCTCAAGGGGCCCCCTACTGACCCTGGGCCCTCGGGCAATGCCTGAGTTTCCGAATGGTCAGTCCGCCCCTGATTGCTTGAGTGCAAAGTAGTGTGTGCTAAGGTGACATACAATTATATTGGTAATATTGGTTTCTTATATCTTGTACACCCACCTGCATCACCCATTACAAGAAGGGTTTATTTCACCATCAGATTCTGAATTTAGTGTGTAAGGCTCCCTTAGTATATTGTACAATACTGGTTAATTGGAAGGGTATGAGTTTTGGTTCATTGTTGGTAGCTCAAAAAGCTAGTGCCCCCAAAACCAGAAATTTAAAATACACATTTAGCTGATATTAGCCTATGGAAGAATCTGTAAGTGTTTAGAACTAACATTACTTAAAAAGAGCAGAGGCCACAAGATTGCTGCTATTGACCTTATGATTGATAAGTTCTTCTTCTGTGCCCCTTCCCAATTTAGTTTGTTTGTCACTGGGGCCTGTGAAGCGCTTCTTGATGCCATCATGGCCAAGCTCCATCAAATGCCACCACCTTGCCCATTGAAAGTGCTCTTACAAATCCTAAGGCAGTCTTTTTGGACATAGAAACAATTGTCATCAGGGGGTGGATCGTTAAGGGAGTATTTTAGGAAGGAGTAACCGGAGTTCAGTGTCTTTGATAACGCATTGATGGAATTTCCGGTTTTCCTCGCTACGCCGTGACGTCATATCCGGAGAGTGGAACGCAGGCTGGATGCTGCGTCCAGAGCCATCTTTACTGTGTCCATATCCATCTGAGCTGCCAGTTCATACACTATAGGAAATCTTCATTGACAGAAAGTGATTTGATGGTCATAGGAAATTGACCCAAGGCGTTTTTGTCATGTTTAAAATGTGAGTGCAATTGATGCATTTGATTTTAGTAATTAAATTCTTTTGACAATATTACACTATCAGTTTTTTTCTCTTTATTTCACTGATCGACTTTGTGTGTGAAATCCTTCTGTTGGAGAATCCTTCTGAGCAGTGTGAACCCCTATTGGGAGAATATTTAATATCCACAAAGCATATTTGACTCTTAATCACTGAGATTCCAATATATTTGGTGAGTGCAGTATATGTTGGTTATCACGGATGGTGTTAATACACTGAAGTTTCCGCATACAGCACTTTTCATTAATT